GACCCCATTGGGGTCGAATATCAGACATCCATGTTACCATTCATAGCAGCAGCAAAATTACAGTTATAAAATAGCAACAAAAATAATTGTATAGTTGGGGCTCACCACAACATGAGGAACTGTACTAAGGGGTTGCCCCATTAGGAAGATTGAGAACCACTGTTTTAAACAATATGGAGCCATAAGAATTTTCAAACACAGAAAAAATAATGTAGCAGACGTGTGTGACCCCATAGCTTGTGTCTAGCAAATGTTAACATTTTGCCTCACTTCCCCGAGTATTGTTAAAGAAAAGAACTAATTGGAGCCCCCAATTTTAGTCCCATTTTTAAGAAGACTGCGCCCGTGGACCCGTGCCCGTGCCCAAGAACAAGGTCCTTAAGGTGGGAGTGATGAGCTTCAGAACAGAATTGGAGGAACTGGCTTTAATTTACTCCGGCACAGCAATCAGCAGCACTCACGTGTGCCCGTTACTGTTCTCTTCTGTGGACATGAAGGCACTGAAGGCTGGGAGCGCCCTGTGCAGGGTCCCTGGGTCAGCACAGCCTGCGAAAGGCAGGGCCAGGGCTGGAAGCCAGGTATGTGGCTTTAGAACTCATATAGAGCCCCTCTGAAGAGTTAAGGGTTAAATTGTGTTAGAAGGTTCAAAGGTAGCCTGGGTTTCCATATTGCTAGCATTAAAGAGATTACAGCCATTGGGGTGTTTTATGCTGAAATTGGCTTATTGTGTTGAGACAAATAATTTCACCAGTGAGGTCATCCTTAACCCTTTGAAACTGCAACTGTCAAATCAAACCCTAGGAATCTTAAATATTTTACCCTGTGTCTCTGGGTATCTTTATGCCAGCTCATCCCTCCACCTTGCTACCTGAAATTTGAATTATAGATTTTTCCTCCAAATAGGGCTTTGAGCCAAAATTTAAGATTGTGTGTGTTTTCTTTATTGGGTGGGTTTTTTTTTTTTTTTGCTTGAAACTTCTTTCTATTCTTTGTGGTGTATTTATTGTTTTCTCTGATGTTGTCTCATGACTATTATTATGCCTTCCCAGTGACTATTAAAGCTTCCTCTCTTCCTATGAAATAGTTAACCATGAATACCTTTTGTATGTGCAGTTTCTCAAAGCCTTTCAGAATGGTGGAATTCTTTCGAATGACTAATTACTGCAAATCTGGTGTCTGTGTAATGCTATCCAGCAAGCAGCTGCTTCGTATGAAGAGAGGCTAAGAGCTCTTTTTGGTTTTGTTCATTTAAAATCATTTGCTTCTTATTTAATATCTGCAGAGAACGCAGTCACATCACAGTAGAATGTGCTGTTGTAAAGTTTGGATTGTTTCCATGGGTTCCGCCTTACATCTGCATGGTGTTTAAAGCCAATGCTTCCTTTCTCTCCATCGTCATTCAGGGCCTCTTGCCTCATAATCCAATGTCATGCTGAATGACAGAAAATTGAAGTTGAATTTATTTGACTATAGAGACGGACGGCACAGAACAATACACTTATTTAAGAGCTCCTTGCCTCAGAAACTGAAGGAGCTGTTTTGTGCAGGTGGCTTAGACTCTCTGCTGCTTATCCTGACTATGTCCCTTTATTTATTAAGGACAAGAACTGGGCATTCTGCTTCTGAAAACAAAGGGCCCTGCTAGTCTACCAGAACCTTTAATAAGCCTGTGTGATGCTTACACATCATTCAGAACCACAGAGACACGGCCTATGCTTTTGCTTTTTTAAAAAATAATCCTTAGTACTTCCTGATTACAAAAAAATACTGCCCAGAAATGAAAAGCAGCCATGAAAATATGTAAATCAACTTCCAGTAACACACCAGGGGGGCTTTTTACATCGTGAGTTTTCATAGTGAATTGTGATTCCTCAGCTCTAGGTGATGTCTTTTCTCCTTAACTAAAATGCTTTCTTGGTTAGCACTGCTCGTATTTTTTGTTTCTGTTTACTGGGTACGACAACCTTCGTGGGTTCTTGTTTTACAAGGCAAAACATTTATTTACTTTACCGCTATCCAGAGCTGTCGTAAGACACGTGACAGTCGCCGGGGCAGCGTCTCCTGTGCAGGCTCTACAGTGCGAGCCAAAGGCTAGCCTGTGTTTATTTTGAAAGTGAGAAGAGAGGCGTGGTAGAGAGAACCGCCCTGGTAGTACAATACTGTTGTCATTAGTCCAGCACAGGGTCGTGTGGCATGGTTTGTTTTTGTTGGAACCTGGTAAACTGGAGAACTCTGATACATCTGTATATTCAAGTGTGAGCCTTAGAATACTCTTTAATGTTATCAAAGTGAGCTTGTTTTAGTGGCTATTATTAGCATCTACTATTTTATTAATTCTCAGACAATTGAGAATTAATTATATAAAATTTACATACAAAGTAACAGTTCTTTGGGGGTTTATTTTAAAGCTAATCAGTTTTAACTGTAGCCCCACTTAGAAATAACAAAATTTATTACTTGGGCTCAGATCCATACTTAATCTAGTTTATGATTCCATCTCATCAAAAGTACAAGGACCATTCAACAAGAAAGCAAACGTCCCCAGTGTCATCGGTTCAAAAAAATAGTCACAAGGACACCTTGTCTTTCTATCTTTCCTTTGTAAAACCGTGTTTCTCATTCTGTAAAGTATATCTCTTTAGAAGTTCAGAGACTATAGCTGGCCTATGACAATGCTCACCACACTTTCTTGGCAAATATACTGTTTACTGTGGCTTTTATGTTTCAAGAGTCAGTGTGAGCAAGAAAGCCTTAAGGACCAGGCAGAACTCAGTGGGAACCACGGGAACACTTCACAGCTTGCTGAGTAAACTTTAGTAAGCTAATTGCTTTCACGTTTACACTTTCCACTTGTAAAAATCAAATCATTTAATACAAATGAAATAAGGCAGAGAAAGCTTCCATGCTCGGCACTGGGACACAGCTCGCCCTCAGCTCCTCCCTCTTCATTCTTAGAGAAGGAGTGAAAGCCTGCAGCCCGCGTGTCTGAAGTCTGCTGCAGCTGACTAACACACTGGCATGGCACAGACCATTCTAGCTAAGGTCTCTGGCTTTTGAAAGGTTTTTACTAAAAAGCATATTTCATGTTATTTTCTCTTCTATTAATGGGGATAAATGTACCCTGAAAATATCCTTAGTAAGTCCGTAATTGAAACTTGTTTTGAGGGGGTTTTCCTCTCAGCAGACTTCAACATCTTCAGAAAGTTTGCTGGCTGGTTGATGTCCTGATTGCAGGAATGGGACAATGGACCCAGAGAGACTCTCTCTCTCTCTCCTCTTCATCTGAAAAATGAGGCAACCTGTTTGGCAGTTTGAAGGGATAGCTTTAAATAATTTAATGCATGTGAGGAGATTTTGGCCACAAACATTTCATTTAGACCGGTGGTGGAGTATGGCATGGTCATTGTTAGTCAATAACATTATTAAAAAATGAAGAGTAAATATAAAGTATTCACACCTCAAAAAAAGTATTAGTGTAGTGCATGTATTAATAAGCTTGACTTACTCCTTCCACAATGTATACTTGTTTCAAAATATGCTGTACATGATAGACATAAAATTTTATTTGTTCTTTAAAATAATTAAAAATAATGTATCTGAAAACATTGGGATACACAAAGATTTTAATATAAATACCTAGAAAATTCTTATGAGAACATTTGTTTAGAGTGAATTTGCTTCTGATTTGAGAAACTAATTCATTGTTTAAAAAAGATAAAACATGTTGAAGATATCATAGAGGTCTGGTGCGTGTGTTTCTTAGGGTGCTGCATAAAAAATTGCAAGTTTACTATTAAATGTAGAAAATTAAAATGCCTAAGGTGGCTAGAACATAAAAAAAATTACAACTCCCTTGTTTTCAGTGTCTTTTTTCTGTATAAACTGGCTAGTCCATGCTGTGTGGTCGTCATACCTTCAGTGATTCCTGGAGAGTTGAGTTCCCGCAGGCTGTCACAACTCACAGAAGCCTAGTGGCAGGACTCGGGCAAACCAAGACTGCATACAGAACACATGGCTTCTGTTAGAGATCCATAGAAAACTTTAATTCTTAAATTAAATCTTGAATAAATTAAATCTAGAATAAAGATGAGAAGAGTAACAACTAGTGAAATGGAAGAAAGACACGAGGCATTGCACTACAACAAAAATTATAAGGAGTAGAAATATTTTCAGTGTGTACATCTTTAAGTTTAATAACCAAAGTGATGTAAATTAAAATAAAAATAAGACGGCACTCTTCACTTATAAGATTGGATGAAAAGAAATTTCAACTCTGATCTGCATTAGCGACTAGAAAGAAGTCCTATTTTGGCTACTGCTATCAAGTCTACAAATAGACACGGTACATAGGAAAACACTGCATAATATCTATTCAAATTTTAAGTGTAAATGTACAGTTGTATTGCCTACATTCCCACATTTAGGTACTAAGGATAGAGGAAAAACTAATATATTCTTGCTATAAGGATTTTATTGAATAATCCTTTTCAAATACTTCCTAAATTTCCTAGATGAAGACTCTGTGAAAGTCAGTTTTCCAAAATATCCTCTTGTCCTTTAAAGTTGTTAAAGACCTTTTAGATACTACTCAGAGTTAACAAATTCCCAACCATGAGCCTGGCAAATGATTTGTCTGTTTCCTTTCTACCCAGAAGACTCAGTTGGTTTAGGAACAGAAGCGGGAGCTCAGATAGCCAAACATTTTAAGTGAGCCATGATCAGAAACGTGTAGGATGTGCCAGAAAAACAAATTTCATTTGAAAACAGTAGAAAGGTTAGGCTGTTAGGTGTTGGTAAAATATCATGATGGTGAAAGGAGAAAGGGCCAAGACACGAGGCACGTGGGGTGTTATGTGGACCATGAACATGTTGCATAGAACCGTACAGGCAAAGTTTCTGTGTTGTCCTTTGGACGCTGAAGGGAAAGTTCAGCAGAGCTGGTTTAGTTTGTGAAGACACCCAGACACTGGTTTACTAATGAGTGTGCTGTGTCGTTTCAGACTTACAGTGTCAAGTAGAGGCCCTTGGGTTGAGACTTCAGAAGACAGTGATGGAGCTGGACAACTGTAAAGAGATGCTGATGTAAGGTGCAATACTCAACAACTGAAGGGGGGTTGCCCACTGATGTGCCACACAACAAAGGCTTTGGAAAAAACCCAGTGTGTCGTCTTTGGGCAGTGGTTCAGTTGTGTAGGTGATGGTCTGCTGTGGCTTCTCTTGGCTCTTCTGTGACTTAAATACTGAAGGACCTGTCACCATTTTATCTCAGTAAAGTGTTTTTGTCCTTCTGTAAAGGACTTATGAGTTGTTTCTTGGCCTCTTGGCTAGTATCAAGTATAGAAGCCATCTAGCTACATATTAGGGATTTGTCTTGATGTTTCAGATGAAGTAATTATCTCATTTCTTCTTTAAATTCATTTTTAATGTCTATAGCATTTAAATTTTCTTAATTGTTATTTCTTAAAATATCTAATTTTAAATTCAAAACAGAGTGCCTTTGAAATGTTGACTATGTTTTATGAAAATAGAGAAGAAATATTGAAAAGCAAATGATAAGAAAATGACCTTATAAAATATTCATAGGTGGGGAAATGGCTCAGTGGATCAAGCACTCGGTGTGTGAAGTCCTGTGTTTTGAATACCCAGAGCCCATTTAAAGTGAGACATGCAGCACCTGTTTACAGCCTCAGTTTTTCTGTGATGAGAGCAGAGCCAGAGGCAAGAGAACCTCTGGAGGCCATTGCCAGCGTACCATGAGCAAAGACAAAGGCAAAACAGCAGAGTCCCCATCTCATACATGGTGGAAGACAAGGACCTCCACATGTGCGCCCTGACACACACATGCCTATGCACACACAGAGGTATGCAGCATACAGCGGTGGGGGAGAGAAGGAGAGAGGAAGGAAAAGGAAGAGAGATTTATCATACACATGTAAAAAGCTCCCAGAGCAGTATTTGTTTTAAAAATTCATTTATTTCAGGAATTTGAAAGGCTACTTGAAAGACTACTTTATACATAAACATGGTATATCTATAATTATAATGCTAAAATAAAAGGCACATGATCTTTAAAAATAAAGTATGTCACTTTACTTCTTGGTGTGTAATCTAGGAGCTCTGGTTTCAGTTCCTGTATTCACAAGATTCAGGCAAATAAATATAAATATTTAGGATGCTTAGTGACCGAATGTTTGTGTTTACCATGGCTGTTCCTAAGAACAATGTGTTTAATCAAATATTGAGCAAAGTCCAGAAATGTCCAATCAAATTAGCGTATAGTTAGATTATTTGTAGCAAGGGTTTTGTTTTAGAAAAACAGAAGTTAATATAACAGTAAGCCCAGAGGTGTGGCTGCCTGTGTAGGATGCTGGGGTGAAGGAAACAGAGAACAGGGAGTTCTTGATGCTTTTCTATGGGAAGTAAGTTCTGGGAAATAAGAAACATGAAAAAGAGACAAGATGACAATTGCAAAACTAAGAACTCCGTGTTCACTCTGTCCATACTAGAAGGACTGTGTTCTCATGGAAGTCCTGTGGAAAAAGCAGCCTCATCAGAACACAACTACTGTGTGATACTTGCTTCCTTTGGTATTATCATTATTGTTGTTATTCTGTATGTGTGTGTGTGCATTTGCATGCCATGGCACATGTATAGAAGTCAGAGAACAGCTTACGAGAGTCAGTCAGTTCCCTCCGTCCATTGTGTATGCCCCAGGGACTGAACTCAGATCTTCAGGCTTAGAGACCTGTGCCTGTACCTCTGAGACATCTCACTGGCCCAACGTTCACTTCCTGGAGCTCAAGAAGTGGGGGGGCAGTGGGAGGAGATACTGGATACTGGAAAGATATTGCTCTTTCAGAGGACCCCATTTTGGCTCCCAGCACTCATGTCAGACAGCTTAGAACATCCTGTAACTCTAGCTCCAGGGGATCCAATTCCTCTGGTCTCTATATTCATTTGCGCGCGTGCACACACACACACACACACAATTTAAAATAAAATCTTAAAAAAAAAAAAAGTTGAGCAGTGAAGTCACAGGTCAGGAGTAGGAAAATAGTGTTAGCACCTGGCCAAGCTAAGAGAGAATTTGTGATGATGCCAAAATTTAGCTTGGAAAAGTAAGAGATGTCAGATGGAAGAAGAGTAAAGCTTACTGTTGTCTACACAAACTAAGTAAGGTCTTTCTCCAGAGTAATTTTGCAGAGAATCCTTTGCATATACCAGGAGCCATTCCATTTACCATTAACTCAAGCCCCGTGCTATCTTGTCAGTTGTATTTTATCCTATCTGTAACCCGAGTTCTGAGACGTGGTAGGAGTCAAGGCAGAGCAGAGCGGAGGAGGGAGTGAGCCACCTCATGGTGGTCATTACACTGATGGCTTCTTAGGGAATTGCTGCATGGTTGCAGAAATACAGTGCGACTTCACCGTCTTACAGAAGTGCGGCTCCTCACCCATTTCAGGGAAAGATCAGAGCCAGCACCCACTTTTTGAAAATGTGGCTTAGAAAAGAGCCATGGAAAACAGTCCCTCGTGTCAGCAGCCTTCCTCTAAGCACACTGGGGCCTCTTCCACTTTGGAGTAAATGGGGTGGGGTCGGGAGCACGTGGGATCAAAGCCCAGCAAGCCACACTGTGCTCAGAGGTCAGCACTACTTTTTAGTAGATTAGAACTGAAGTTGTGTTTTGACCGATGATGAATTTGAAGTCAAAATAATTTACTCAAAACTCTGATGCGCAGAATTGACTCAGCAGTTAAGAGCAGTTATTGCTCTTGCAAAGGGCCAGGGTTCAGTTCCCAGTACCCACAGGGCACCTCAAGACCATCTTAATTTCAGTTCCAGGTGATCCGGCACCCTTGCCTGACCTCTGAAGGACACTAGACACACAAGTGGTACGCATACATACATACATGTAAAATTCTCATACACATAAAATAAATGGGTCTAATTTTTTTAAAAAATTGATTAATAAATTAGAGGTTTTCTATACATACTCAAACCTCTTTGGGCTTTTGGAAATTAGAAAATGTTGTAGAATCTTCCTTTAAATTTTTAATTCTGACCTTGGTGGGTGCTGGGAACAGGAGTGACCTTTATTTATTCAATTTACTGTAATTATTTTGTTATTTAAATTGTTTTAGAGTGTAGTTAGATAGTAGAGAACCTGCCTCATTCACTGGAGGCCTTTGAGCTTGATCCTTAACACTATAAATTAAGTAAAGCAAAAATAAAAAATAAAACATGTGCTTTTTAAACATAGTTGGATGTAAGTTCTTTTTTGTGTTCTAACGTGGAAAGAAGAAGCAGTTCCTAAGTGGATAGAGTTGGCTAGCTTTTCCCACATAAGGTTATTAAGAAAATACCTTCTGTAGTTTATCAACATTGTTATGTTCTTTTGCATGTTTTTGAGACGGGGTTTCTTGTAACCCAGACCAGCTGGGGACCATGCTAGGTGACAAAGGATGACCTTGAACTTCTGATCCTCTGGCTTCCTCTCTAAGTGGGATTACAGGCATGCTCAGTTTTATGTGGTGATGGGGATGGAGCCCAGGGCTTCGTGCATGTTAAACTAGTGTTCTATGAGCTGAGCCATATCCCAAGCATTGTCATGTGTTATAATTGATTTTTATTTTTATTTTATTTTATTTTTATCAGGAGGCTCTGGTGACAGTCACTGAAGTGAGGTAATGACTGCTTTACTTGATCCAGAGGCTCAGCAATATTATCAGGGGTTTGGATGCTCTTGTGTTTTAGTTAGGGTTCTATTGCTGTGAAGAGACACCATGACCACAGCAACTCTTATAAAGGAAAGCATCTAATTGGTGCTGGTGGTACTTACAGTTCAGAGGTGTAGTCCATTATTGTCAAGGTAGGAAGCATAGCAGTGTGCAGGCAGACATCATGATGGAGAAAGAGCTGAGAGTTCTACATCCGGATCCACAGGCAGGAGAGAGAGAGGGGGGAGAGGGGAAAGGGGAGGGGAGACTGGAGAGGGGAGGAGAGAGGGGAGAGAAATAGGACCTGACTTGGCTTCTGAAACCCCAAAACCCAGCCCCAGTGACACACTTCCTCTAGCTAGGCTAAACTTCCCAATAGTTCCATTCCCAATAGTTCCATTCCCTGTGAGCCCATGGGAGCCGTTTTCATTCTGACAACCACTTCTGTCTCCTTCCTGTTACCTTCAGCATTGACTTCAACTAGATTCTGGTTCCCTGTGCCTAGAACATGGCTATAGTTCTGAATACTGTGTCCAAATGAGGCTATCTAGTGGTAGAAGATCCTGTAGAAAAATCCCCCAATCCACCAAACAGCCCTCTCCCCCTCTCTGCTGTCTGGAGCCCATTACATCCTCTCTGTTAAATGAATTACTGGCAAGAGGAACTGGACTGCCAAAATGAGCTTTGGCCTGGCAGTCTGTATCGTGATGGGTGACAACTGAGATTCTGAGACATGGAAGAACACTGCAGAGAATGTCACAAGGAAAGCGGCAGTGTTTGCTGAGCAGTAGGGCTTTATCCTGCTCTCAAAGTCAGTTTGGAAATTTTCTACAAATTCCATCTTTCTCATAGTATCTGCATAGGTAAGGAAAGACCACACCAATAATAATGAAAGCTAAGAAAGCTCTATAGCTAGACCTGGTGGTGCAGGCCCGCAGTCCTAGCTGCACAGGAGACCAAGGCAGGATGATCACGGTTGGAGTCCTGCCTGGGCCTTGTGTGACTCTTGCTGCAGAGTTGTGAACAAACATCTTCTCACTCCAGATAGGGAACTTCCTGCAAACCAAAGAGAGCCTGCCATCAATGTCTACTTGATGAAATGAGTTGCTTGAGGTTACTTTTAGGAGTAGAAATGACTCAATGGCAGCTGCATGACCAGAAACGTGTGTGACAGCTCATAGGAGCCGGACACCTAGATCCCACTGCTTAGCCTGCCGGCAGCTCAGTGGGTTGGAGACTGTCTTTTCCGCGTAGTTCAGTTACCCAAGCCTCTTTCAGGCAGCATAGTTCATCTCTGCCTCTTCCAAGAACTGAGGTAGTACTTGCTATGGTTCCTTAGAGTAACAGAACTTTCAGAATTAGTCTCTCTCTCTCTCTCTCTCTCTCTCTCTCTATATATATATATATATATATATATATATATAGAAAGGAGATTTATTAGAAGGACTTATAGGCTGTAATGTGCCCTTTATTCTTGGATTTTGGTCAATTCCAGATGTGATCAAGTTGGCAACCAAGAATAGCCATCACAGCTGATCTGCCTGTTACAAGTAGCTTAGCTTGTCTGAGAATGCCTTTCCATTGTCACGGTTTATATACACCTGGGGAGGGAAGCTGCAAGTGAGTCTAGTCAGTTTTAGGGACTTCCTGAAGCTTTTAAGTTGTTTATTTCCTGAGCTTAATTAGTTTTCCTGCAGGATGGAATGCACTTCCCTTTAGAATATCCTGTATCTTAAGAACTTCCCTTCAAGATGCAATGTGTTATCTGGAAGGAAATTGCTATACAACAGTGGGCTACAGAGTGAATTTAAGACCAGCCTGAACAATTTAGCAAAACTATGTCTCAAAATGAAAGACAGAAAAGGGGTTGAGGATAATGCACAGTGGTAAAAAACTTGAGATCCTAGATATTATTTTTATAATATACATATGAAGATATGAAATATATTTGTATTACCTTCAAATAAATATTAACTATATACACATATTTCAAGATATATATGTATGTTACAAATATATATATATATATGTGTGTGTGTGTGTGTGTGTATGTGTGTGTGTTTGTCAACATAAAGACAAGAAGTAAGACTACAAAAACAACTGCCATCAATGACAGTTCTTCAGGAACTTCTGAAAACTGATACAGAGAAAGGGCAGTGTGAGGGTTGACTCTGTGGAGGCATGAGTGGGAGGAAAGCCAGATGTAAACGGGCAGTAGTAGACATGCAGTAGGCAGGCTCCTTCTCAGAGCCCATTAGGAAGTCAAGGCCTTGAGACCTAGTCTGGGGCACTTGTGGAAACTCCTCTAGACATTCCCATTTGCCAGCATCCATTTTGGCCTATAGTTGGGGGGTGATCACATTCCCTGCATTTTCTGATGTAGGTTATTTGAGGAGAACACTTAAGCCAAACGGCCTCCAGTCAGCCACACTAGCATTGCATGTAGAAGCAAGAATCTGAGAGCTACAGCCAAGACAAAACCCACACCCCACAGCAGGTAGCAAACTCTGCCCCTTCACCTCACTCCAAAAATGGCAGAGAATTGTAGGGCTAAGTATGAACACAACAAAAGCTATATCCCAAGCCTCATCCCACCCCTCAAAGTGACTTAAGAGTTCAGGCAGTAAACCTTTAACTCCTTAAGAAATTCAAATTAGCAAACAGAAGACATTAGGGTTAGTATAATTGCTATCCAGTAAGTATATTCAGAAATACATCCTTAAAAGAAAAATTAACTATTATGAAAAATAAATTATTATGAGTTGAGAAATTAAACATGTGGTCATGAAAACTACCCCTTTCATATTAAATATGAACGCACACCCTTGCCATGGGTTTACATGAACTGAAGAAATAGTCGACAAAATTATTTGCAACCCCTGCCAAGAATGCCCAGGAATGAGAATGAGGTTCGTGCAGAACCTTGCTTCATTCAGTTTGCTTGTGGTTGTCTTTGCTTTCATGAATGCAGGAAAAGGAACAGATTCCGTTAAAATATCTTGGAATGTATCAATTAGTAGTTAATGTAGTAGTTGCCCACCCTTAGCCACAAGGGCTGTCCTTCAGGACACAATGCCTAGTGAGGTATAGTAGCAGTATTCTCTTAACCACAACACTTGGGATGTAGAAGTCCGTGATCCCTGTGAGCTCTAGCCTAATCTGCTTTACATGAGCTCCAGAACCCTGTCTCAAGAAACAAAACAGAAGACGCAGTCCTAAACCACCGTAGTTAGTATTAAACCCTACACACATGTGCACATGTGCACACATGGGCACACATATACACAGTTTTCCTTGTACTTCCTTACTTTTTTATATTGTGGTAATAAAACACCAAGCAACTTAGGAAAGAAAGCACTTGGCTTTCAGAGGGTTGGAGTCCTTACTGGGGGAACAAAGGGATGGCAGCAGGGACAGCTGAGAACTCACATCTTGAGCCATAAACAAGAAGCAGAGGAGCACACTGGCAAGACACTAAGACTGTACCTTCCAATTCCTCCCAAACAATTCCACCAACGAGGGGCCAAGTATTCAGGCATCTACGGCTATGGAGGTCATTTTTGTTCAAACCACCACACCTATGTACCCATAAATTTTAAAATATATCAAGTTTAACTTTTATATTAGGCACAAGGTAACATAAATAACGGAAAATGGAGTTATAATATAGTGAAAGTTATAGGATTGAGCTACATTTCCTAGCCTGTTGTACTGTGTTCACTACCTTACGAGATACTTCCAAGGCCTACCTGATTAAGTGTACTGACATTGTGATACAGTCCCAGGCTGCTGTGTAAAGATTGCTTACAAGCAGCCACTGTGATCAACACCATAGTGGATCTGATATCTGAGCAGGGGCCAAGAGAGCTGAAGATGGGTAGAATCAATAGTGTGAACACACGGGACAAAGTGACGAGTGCCCTCGGTGGGATGGGGTGGGACGACAGGTTTCATAACGGTAGTCAGAATTGTGTACAGTTGAAAACTAGTTAGTTCTGGAACATTCAGCTTATTACTTTTTTAACTGTCGTAGGGTAACAGACTTCAGACAGTAAAGCCATAGACGTGGAGAGGGGACTCCTGTGTGTCTAAAGCGTTTGTACAGAATGTGCCCCCTAATTTATGGACCTCTGTACCATGCTTACACTTTATTAACAGTCTGGGCCACAGTGAACTTTGACCGTCTCGATGACTGGTTTGTGAATCTCTAGCTTGCCCTTCGAGCACAGCTGGACGCACTGTTCTCGGAACCTCTGCTCCTATTGGCGCGTAACTGTTAGCGTTCCGGTTTTCCCAGCACTGTGGTGGCGACCTGTGTGGATGTCTGATCTGGCACACAGGAAGTGGCCTGGTGGCACTATGTTGTCACCGTGCCCGTCTTCTTGTTTCACGGTCTAATCTCAAGCAGTGTCCCCGTTTGCTTCCCTCTGCTGTGATAAACCTCATGGCCGAGGATGACTTGTGGAGGAATGGGTTTATTTGAGTTTGCTCTATACAGTCCGTTATAAAGGGAAGTCAGTGCAGGGACTCAGGACAGATGTCCCCAGCTTGTGTCAAGTCGACAAAAAACTAATGGCAGGGGCAGTGCCACTGCATGGGCAAGTAACTCGGTCGGTCTCACACGGCAGATTGTCTCTAGGGCAGCGGCTCCATTTCACTTCAGTTATTTATCTCCTTCTGGGCTGTGTCGGACCTGCCCTTTGCGCTTGAAGACCAGCGCCTAGTGGAGTTTGTTTGGGGACTCTCTCTCCCAAGCAAGCCAGGTTTAGCCCTTCACTTCCCAAGCAGCTGAAGTTGCTCAGAACGTTTTTCTCTGGTTCTTCAGTCCAGGAAGACCGGCACTTCCTGCCAAAGGTTTTGTTCCCCTGCCTGGTTCTCACTTAGACTGTCCCCAGGTTTACAGTTATGTAAGACGCACCCTGACTTTGCAAGGCCACCTCATTCCAAGAATCTTTTTGTCCCCTAGATGCCCCTCCTTTCCAACCAGTTTCTAGTGTTGATAGGATCTTGTTTGTTCAGTTGTGGGTCTTGTTTGATAATGTTCAGACTATATCCTTCTTAGTTAAATACAGTTAAATAGAAGGCTGGAGAGATGGCTCAGTGGTTAAGAGCATTGGCTGCTCTTCCAGAGGTCCTGAGTTCAATTCCCAGCAACCACATGGTGGCTCACAGCCATCTGTAATGAGATCTGGTACCGTCTTCTGGTGTTCAGGCATACATGCAGGCAGAACACTGTGTACATAATAATAAAAAAATACAGTCAAATAAGCAGTAATTTGGTTAAGAGTATGTTTAAATAATTATAATTTGAAGATTTTAAGATATAGAAAAAACATTTTCTTTTGAAATAATACATTTTAACTATTGCAAATACTTTTGTCTTAGGAAAAAGTCTAATGACGCTGATAACTGTCAAAGAGAACTTAGAAAACTGAAGTTCGAGTCTGTTATTTCTGAGTCAAGGTATATACTGCAAATTTTAATAAACATTTTAATAACTGAATTTACACCTTATTTCTAAAGTAATTTCATTGAGGACGCACTTGCCTATTGTTTTCTTGCTTATATATGTGACACCTAATTTGGACCTCCTGGTGTCTCTCTGTCGTCCGTGGTTTCTGTCTCTGCCCCCACTGGTGTCACTGCTCTTCTCTGTGCTGCAACAAAAACAACCGACAAAGCAACTAATGGATGAACAGTTTGTGTTGATTCATGTGGTTTGCGTTGGTCCACTGCATGGCGGTGGGAACACGAAGGGGATGTTGTCAGGGGACAGGGAGATAAAGACAGCCTCCAACTTGCTTTCTCCTCTTTCAGTCCAAACCCCAGCCTGTGAGTAGCGTCGCCCATATTCAGGGTAGTTCTTCTTCCGTTAGCCCTTTCTTGGAGTAGCCTTATGGGCACCACCAAGGAAGGATTTCCATGCTGATCCTGAATCCTGCCAAGCTGACATGAACAGTCACAGCCCCACCCCCTTGTCAACCTGACATTCAAGCTTTACAGAGTCATAGCATTCCACCTGGAGTCTCATTTTCATGTCGGGGTGCAGACCCTGCCCTTTAAACAACCCAACACTGCTCCAGAATCTAAAGTCTCTGCTGAGACCCGAGGCAGTCTCTTTAAGTGAGCTACTATAAGATTAAAAAAAAAAAAAAAAAGTGGCAACACTCCTACCATATAACACCACAGAGTAAGCGTCCCATCCCAAGGGGAGGAATGGTATTTTAGAAAGGTAAGATCTGCCCAAAGCAAGTCAAACCCATCAGCACAGACACCAAGCGCTACAGTTCCACCCACCCTTCTGGGACTTCTGACAGGACTGTCTGGGCTCTGGTGGCCTTGCACAGCCCCTGTCCCCCAGGTATGCAGTACAGGAAGTCTTTCTCTTGGGCTTCCTCCTTGCCATGCCTGTAGCTTTCCTCATCAGATACCCTATATCCTGGCCTCTTCAATACCATGTGATCTCCATTGCAACTAGACTTTACCTTCACGATGTTACCCATAGCCTCTCAGGGATTCCCTGCAGGGCTCGGACCTTCCCACGCATTGCCTAGCCTCAGCAGCTTTCTGGATTATTTGGAGAAAGTGTCCATGACTACCTGGGAGCCCTGCATTTTACATGCCAAGAAACCAGCACCAGGTAGCTGGCACTGCTTGGTTCTGGTACCAGCCTCTTTTAATTGTAACATTTCTGCATCTGAGTGGTGCTTTCCAAGACCGTTGTTTTCAAATCGGGAATCCCGTCTGGGGCCTCTCAGTTCAGCCTCCCTTTTTGATGAATATGTGCTTTCATGAGTCCAAGACTCTTGTGGATGGGGATACCTTTCCCATTTTCCCACTGACACAGTCTGAGGCTTCTTTTGAACGGTCTGAATCTCTAACAATTGCAACTGTTTGGGCTGCACTTGCCTTGTCAGCAGCTTTAAACTGACAGTTTCTTCACCAAGCTGCGTGTTTTTCCTATCATTCTGCCTTGCTTGTCACTGCCTGTCACTGTAGACCTGGGTAAGGGCGGTGAGCAGTAACCATGGCACAGCCTGAACATTGTCCCGTCCTCTCATATACTCTCCACCAAATAAATTAGCTCTTTGGCTTTGAATTCAGTCTCCCTCAAGTTCTCAGGACATGAGGGAAGCCATGTTCTTTTCCAGAATATAACATGAATGGCTTTTCCAGAATATAACATGAATGGCTACCAGCTAAGGTCCCAAAAGATTCCTTGTTCTCTGAGACAGTTGTCTGAGACAATTCAGGGCTGTGCTCCTACACTTGTCTCGCATTCCTATCTTCCGGTTTTCAGCTAGGAAGGGTCAATTACACTCTGGTTACGGCAGTGAGAGGCTTCTCTCACCCGACTTCCAAACCCTTCCACACTCTTCCCACAAACCAGTTCTTAAGGCCTAAGAACCACGTGGTCTGTTTACATCACTCCTTGGCACCAATTTTCTGTTACTTTTCTCTTTGTTTTGAGCACAGTACTTAAAAAAAAAAGACAACTTAAGGATGCGGGGGTTTGTTTTGGCGCATTTTTGAAAAGAAGACAGCCAGTTGTGGCTGGGTAAATTCGGTACAGAAACATGAGGCAGCTAATTCCACCTTCCAGTCCGAGAGTAGACAGCAGTGAATTACGGCAGCCCAGTGTCCTCTTTATTTTATTCAGTCTGGCCCCGGGCTGTGGAATAGTTTTCCTTGTATTCAAAGTGAGTTTTCCGTCTTTGCTAAACCTTTCCAGTAACACCTTTATAGATACACTCAGAATCTGTGATCATTTTTGATCCAGCCAAGTTGACAATGAAATTAGTTACCACAATGGGAAAAATTTCACATCATGGAAATATTCATGTTGTTCACATCTGTTTTTAAGTCATAATCATGATGAAAGTTCTCCAAACTATAAAATCATAGTCCAAATACAAACCATAGTATAAATGTAAAATCATAGTATAACTATAGAATCGTAGTATCTAACGTATGCTTGCCGTCCTTCGTTTCCTGTCCCTTTTAGGCACAGTAGGCTACTCAAAGAAAAAGAAGACTCTTTACTGACTTGTCAGCAACTGTACAAAACCCTACAGGAGGAGCTGACTACCAAAGAAAGGCAAGGGGAAGATCTCAAAAGAAGGATCAGCCTTGCGGAAAATGAGCTAGAGATGACCAAAACTCTCCTGCATCGGACGCAGGAAGAAATTTTAACTCTGAAAAATGAAAGGTGCAGTCAAGAATAATTCCTTAAAGATAGTTTATCCTTAAATAAGTATTCAATATATATTTGAAACATCAATGTGGATTATCATAACAGCAAGGTCGGGACTAAGGGCCTATTTCCTAAGTAAATTCGGTCCCTCACTTTCAAGTGATTAAGCTGGATCTCAGCTTACCAGGTGGCCAAAGCAGAGATGGCATCAGCTGGCTTTCTTGTCAGAATTGTACTCAGATCTGATCATTTGTAAAGAGTTGTAACCTCACCCAAAACTTGGTGAGTTCTATTTTTAGCATAAACGTGTTTGTTTGCTTTTTACCCCCTTTCCATCTTATCGGCTCCTCCTTCTCGCTGCCTCTCTAGCGATCTTTCCGAGGTTTCCGTCCAGGTGGAATTAATGGTGCTGCAAGCCAGACTCTCAAGGTGCTTTCATTCTGATCATTCAGCATCTTTACATGAGCCTCTTCTGTACGAACATTTCAGCTCTGCTTTCTTTCATGTTTAATTCACTGAGAATGCCTTCTCTCATTCTTTCAGAACCCTTTTGTTTCACTTGTATATCTAACAGATAGCATAATATTTGGTTTTTCCCTGTTGTTGACGTTTAGATTGCGACATAGAGAGTATTCTTTTTACATGTAGTGGTCTAATTGCATTCCAGGATAATACACACCATGTAAGGACAGAAACTTTTAATTATTCTCTGCACATAGGAAGCTGATGATTGATTGTCTACTTTTATTATTATATAATTTAAAAGAAATTGTATTTGTTGCTTTTGGTGTGTGTGTATGTGCATGTGTGTGTGTGTGTGCACGCATGCAGGTGCACATGCGTATATATGTGTGTTGTCACACATGCCACAGCATACATATGGAGGTCAGAGGACACTTTTGTGGAACTGGTTCTCTCCTTCCACTTTTATGCAGGTGCAGTGGTTGAAATCAGCTTGCCAGACCTTTAGCAATCATTTGCTGGCTCTCTTCTATCGTTTTAATCTCATTAAAAGTTTTTGTTAATGTTTAGTACTATTTATGATTTTATGATTTTTCTTTTAGTTCTTTATCATAATTGTAGCTATTTTCTGAGAATAAATCTGGGGTAGGGCTGCAGCAGTAGATAGCGGGCATATTTAATTAGGTAATTGGGTTTGTTGCTCAGAACTCTTTCTCCCCATCAGAGTGGTAGACTATGGGAGTCATCTGTGTGTACTGCAGGCTAGCAGACCTTCATGATTCCCTAAGAAACAAGGCTCATGTCCGGTGCTTCATGGCTTGGTTTTATTTCTACTCCTCCAAATACGAGCTCAGAGCTAACATCATCCAATTCCTTCTTCTCTTTGAGATATCAGTAACCTGATTCTTGCAGTGATGGTTTTGTGCCCACCTACTCTTCATCAACTCCTTTTCTTCTTCATTTCATGATTACATAGTATTCAATATTATATATTTTCTTCTTTGTTTCATGATTGGATAGCATATTAGATGCTGCAACCTTATAAGTAAGAAATGTAAACAAACCAGACTTATTAAAGGAGTAAGTGCTGGAAAATTGAGCATGCATAAGCAGAAAGGAAACTTGTGTGTGGACAGAGAACCTTCAAAATCACTATAATTTAGACAAACACTATCGTGTCTGTTAGAGATACATTAGAAGTATATACTGATGGCCTTAGGTATGTCAATAACTTCAGAAATGCCCTCCCTATCTTTCTAATATGAGTTAATAACCAGTGAACATAATGATTGCCCATTGTCTGAAAGCAGTTATGTATTCTATAGAGATTGCACAGAATTACAATCCTCAATACCGTGTAAAAAAAACCAAAAAGAAAGCTTCAGAAGTCTTTGGTTTAGAACCTTGGTCATCTGAAGACTTCTTATGCTGTCTAGGATTCCCTGTTTTCAATGATGCAGGGTTAATGAGGCAAATGCTTTCGGCCACAGTGGTTGAGCTCGTCCTGTCTTTTGCATCAGTGGTTCTCAACCTTCCTAATGCTGCGACCCTGTAGTCAGTTCCTCATGTTGTTGTTACCCCCAACCATAAAATATTTTGCTGCTGCTACTTAACTGTATCTTACTACTGTTATGAATCATAATGTAAATATCTGTTATGCAGGATACTGATATGATATGTGACCCCAAAGGGGTCGTGACCTACAGGTTGAAGCCCACTGTTTTAAATGTTTCTGAGATCCTCCTCTGAGGATTAATCTAAGTTTACATGATTTACATTGTCAACAGTGTGATGAAGATTCACCCTTCAGGAACAAATCCAAAAATACTTAAAAGCAAAGAAAAGTGAATAGACATATTTAATATTATAGAAACTGAAAAGACTCATAGCCGGCCATAGTGTTACACACCTGTAATCCCAGCATGGAGGAGGCTGAGACAGGAGGATCACTGCGAGCCAGGCCAGGCCAACCAGGGCTACATAGTTTGACCCTGCCTCAAAGAACAATAGCAAGGAATTCGGTGGTAAAGCAAGGGCTCTGTGTTTTGTGAGCTTTTGAGTTGGGCAAACAGATTTACATCACAGCATGGCCATTGTCAAGCTTGGGCAACCCAACAAAAAGGTGTTAACCTTTTACTTTGTGTGCAAACTGGGCGTACTAATAACAGCTAACTTTTTGTGGGTGCTAAAGCATCTAGCTCTCACCTTGTCTGTTACAGACACTTGGAAGTATTATTTCTTCTGTTTCATCTTTTCTTAGACCACTGCCTCCCTAAATCATATCATAGTCTACTGTTACCATGTAGGTACTCAGCAGATAGCTGTTGAACTCAGTATCCCCTGCTTTGTTTCTAAGATGTAATAATTAACCCTTGGGGTGCTTCCACTGTGACGTCATTGTTAGAGCATAGCGTTACCAAGAGAAGTGCTGTGCTATCTTCAATAATGGAACAGAATTTTCTCCCGGTCTCACCATTGTCTCTGGTTTGCTCTCCATCGACAGTTTTGAGAACAACTCACTTGCCCAACTTCTTATGCTACCACACGCTTGCTGTTTTTAATGGAGGCAGGAGCTGTGGCAAAATCAAAATTATCTCTTTGATTGACAACGTGAAGACATCTCTAAAAGAGCAACTTGTGAAATGGGACTTAAAGCTGTTGCTTTGGCATTCTGCTTTGACGTTTGTTTGCAGCTACATTTTTAACTATAATTAAGGGAATCTAAAATTTTGCATTTATATAAGAAATTAGAGTCTCATTTTCTTTGGGGACTGAGAATTAAAAAGTTAGCTTTTTAAAATAAATACCCTTAATTGCAAGTACATCCTAATTTGCCTATTGTGTCAACACTAAAAATGTTCGTTTGAGAGAATCTGGTGAGATTGCGGGGTAGAGGGTTAGATAGTCAGCCGCAGCTCCCCTGAGAAACCTGCAAAAGAAAGGCAGTAAGACACAACATAGAAAGCCTTGCCTTGGCCCAGGCTTGCACGAGCGTGGCCACCTGTGAAACATACAACCTCAGTCATTTGCTCTCTCTCTTCATTTCTTCTGACAATGAGAGACTTGTGTGGACATATTTCTATGAAATTAGAAGAACTATTGCACCCCCAGAGAGAAGAGCAGGCAGGCAGTATGTGTCTGCTATTGGATGAGGATGTGTTTCATTCTCCTCGAGCCTCTGGTCACAGCATTGGAAACGGGACAGCTTCTCTCAGATTTTCTAGGGCTTCTGTCTTGCTGAAAAGGAGAGCTGGGAGTGACGTGGCTGTGTGAGATCCTGGTGGAAATCTCCTTTATTTGTTTCTTTGTAAAACTCAAATCAAGGACCTAAGTCTATGGCATTTCCCATAATCCTAAGACATCGATATCTCTGGAACCAGTTCTCAGCACCCATGCTGGGTAGCTCACAACCACCTGTAACTACAACTCTTGGACATCCTGTGCTTATTTATTTATTTATTTATTGCCTCTGCAGGCACTTATACTCAAGTGTACAAACCCACACCCAGACATGCAGATACACATAAATCAAAGTAAAATGAATTTTAAAAAGTGAATCCAAAACAAGAAAAGAGAAGAAAGAACTCGCACCAGATTGCAGATTACCAGAACTCTGCTATCCGGCCACTTCTGATGAACACAAGGACAGCCATGTCTATTCTGTGATCCTGATCTTTTTGATTATCAGTGACATTTTAATTGAAGTGTTTCTTTGTTTCTGTGGGCAACTGCTCATTTCTTAATCAAATTTACTATTATATGATTCTACAATTGTACCTAGTTGAATAATATTTCTTAAAAATTAGACCAATATATTTGTTTACTCTTGAGTTGATAGCAAATCACCATATACTTAGTGGCTAAGGAAACATAACATGTTGTCTTACAGTTCTATCTTTTCGGAAGTCCAAATGTCCTCATCACAATGAAAAACAAATTCACCAGAGAACTAGGAAGACACTGACAGGACAAGGCATATCTTGGGACCATACGTTTGCAAAAGGTTTATCTAATAAGGAATTTGTTTCCAGAACACAAAAAGAATATTAGAAACTCAGTTAGGAATATAAACAATCTACTAAAAATGTGCAGACATTTTACTAAACAAGGCCAGTCAGCACACAAGGAAGTGTGACATTCCATGCCTATGTATCTACCCAAGAGAAATGAAAGTAAATGCCCATACAAGCATGCAAAGGTACACTGGCTTCATTTGTAAAAGTCAAAGTCTGTGAACTAATCCAAATATTCATCAGTAGATGAATAGAGAACAAATCACAGTTGCATTTGTTCAATGGAATACTACTCAGCGTAAAAATAAATGGACTAATGATGCATAGCACAGCAGATAAATTCAGAAAGAATTTACGCTGAATAAAAGGTGCTGGGACAAAAAGAACCCAGTGTATGGTTCCGTACTTACAGAAAGCATAGATACATTCTGAATATACAAAATAAATGGTGAGCAAACCATAGGTTCGCTGGAAAGAGCAGAGCATTATAAGGGAGTAGCATTGGGGATGCTCCAGCAGTTAAGAGTGCTCACTTGCAGA